GGAGGCTGGTTTCATAGTAGTCTCTCCACACTCTGCTCTCATTGGGCAGATTTGAAGCATATGGAGATTAGATTTAATTAAAATCACCTTCAGCCCGTCACCCGCTGAACTTAAGATCTACATTCAGCAAGCTGTGACAGTTTTTAATATCCAAATTACGCAGCCCAGCGATCAATGCAGACGATAACTGCTGACACGGACGAATTCAATATCCTCTGCTCTGATAGCAATCAACAACAAATGCAGCCTTACAACTGGGGCAGACCCAATTTTTAAAAAAAAAACACACAACAATGGGATAAAGGGAGTTGTTTAAATGTCCCACCTTCCCAAAAAAAGGAGTGTTAGCAGTGTGCATCAGGACAAAATCAGGAGAAAATCCACTGGAGTTTGCTGAAACGTGCATGGCTGCGAGCCAAGCAGCCAGGGTACACACGCTGCATGGCTGCAGCAGAGCCAGGCCTGGGGAGACATGAGTTATATGGCACTAAATCAGTCTCACATCCAGCTGACTCCCCGGCTACTTCTCCGTCATCAGCAGGCAGAAACACACACACAGGCAGTCAGTGCTGTGTGCGTCTGCATGTGGTGTAGAAGAGAAAGGGCAGCACCTTTGCAAGAAAAGAGCCTGGAGGGGGATAGACATAAAGGTGTGTGTGTGTGCGTGTGCGTGTGTGTGTGTGTGGTTAGATGTAACAGAGATGATGAGGGAAACCTCTCACAATGTCTGCTGCTGTGTGCACGACACAAGACATGGGAGGACACACTCAAAACTCCAATATTGAAGAGGTGTGTGAGAGAGGGAATCAGGGGTCGGGTGCACAAATCACCTTAAGTTAAGATTTTCCTTAAAGTCCGAGTAAAGCTTTTCTTAAAATCAAATCAGTTGCACAAAACACGTCCTCTCCTCCAGGTCACCTTTAAATATTCACTTAAGTATTTAAGGTTTTCTCATTATCTTGGTCTTGTATTTAAGGAATCATGTAGTTAGTTAAACTATTGCACAAAAGACTTGAGGTATTAAAAGTGTGAGTTACCATGGAGACTGTAGAATGTGATGGCTGTAAAATCTCTTTCAATGCAGTGAATGCCTTAATGTTTTTCCTTAAACTAAGGAAACATTCAAAGGGGACTCTGTGCAACACTCCTAAGTACCTCAGCTAAGGAGAATTAAAGTCTTAAGTGTCATACTTAATGAGAAAACCTAAGGTGTTTTGTGCAGCCAGCTCCAGTTCTTTATCCAGGGTTACCTGTGAGCAACTATTTTTATAAATACCCGATATTGATGACTGAAAACTAACTTTGTATAATCTCATGATTTACTGTGGGTGAAATGGGCTCACAGTTTGTCTCGATTGCTTAGACACGATAAATGAAACTGGGATCTTCTTGATCTTTATCATCACCGTTTTAGCACAGCAGAAGTCGTCTCTTGCAAATGAGTTCACAGTTTTTTGTTGGTTTCACACATTTCTCACACTCGTTTTCCAAACACTTAACACAGATCTCACAGAGGGACCATAAACTCTAACGGATGAGCTGTATTACACAAAACATCTGTTCACAGCTGATAAAAATTACAAATCTCTAAAGCAGGGGTGTCAAACATACGGCCCGGGGGCCAGAATCAGCCTGCCAAAGGGTTCAGTCCTGCCCACTGGATGACTTTGCACACCAGGTTTCAGGAGCAATTTAAAGTGTGTAGAGACTTCGTGTAAAATGCTGCTTCAGAGGCTTTTCCACCCTGACCAGAATACAGCTCTCAGAACTAACAATAAATACTTACTGTGGTCATATTTTAAGATATTGAACATTGCACTGAAGAAGTCTCACTATGAAGTCGACGAAATCAAGCATTTATGTGGTGACTTATGGCGTCAGAAACCAATGAAAAAAATTGATCTTTAACATCTGCATGATACGCAGCTGGTTGCCATTTTAGTTTAACTGCACCTGGCAGCATCAGGGGGGAACAATGTGGGACAAGGATGAAAGTTAAGGTGGCAAAAGTGGTAGTGGAGCGGGTGGGAGGGATGGTGGCTGGGTCCAACAAACAGACTTTCACCTGAGAGAGAGGTGTTCCCGTCCCGTAAGATTCTAAAGCTAAACCCTGTTCTTTTTTCTAGACCTAACCACATGTTTTTGTTGCCTAAACCCAATCATATGTGTTTGTTGTTGGAGGTAAAAAAAAGGTCAGCGTAGTAGCACCGACATAGTGTGTTTATTTTGAAAGAGACTGTATGTTAACGGTAAATTTCCTGTGAAAACTGAAGTGGTATCGTGAAAGAAGACAATGCATGTAACAGGCACAAGTTGACACAGTGTCCCAGTATGTCAACAAACAAAACACACCCAGGGTACCTTGCACATCCTATGTGTACGTGAAAAGTCCGTGACCAAAACGTCAATATGTGACGAGGTCAGAGTGAGAATGCGTTGTGTGCAACATATTGTCAACCAGCTTCAGTACAAAATTATCTGTATCAGACTTCTGTCTTTAAACAGTTTGGGTGGAACCACTGACGAAACTTCAGATTTGTAAATGGTTTTTAAGGTGGGGATGACTTCACCTGCTTCTTCAATAGCTTCCACTTCAGTGGAAAATCATGACAAAATGCACATGTAGTGACAGTGAGTAGCTGACTGACTGAATGTGGAAAGATTGAGACATACTGGTGAATTTGCACATATTTTTCTTAGGATATTGCGAGCTGTACATGTTCATATTGTACTTCTTAACACACACAAAAAAAGGAAAAATTTGAAGGGGTTGTTATTTATAAGTTATTATGCAGTGGTTTTACTGGTCCGGCCCACTTGAGATCAAACTGGGCTGTGTGTGTGGCCCATGAACTAAAATGAGTTTGACAATGTTAATGTTTTGTGAGTGTCGGAGCATTTTACAGTGACTTTCAATTCAGGCCTGTGTGTGAACTGTTTTAAAAAAGTCACGTCTGAATCGACAAATGTCTTTTAGCAAATGAGAAAACTGTAATGCAACATGCACTTCATAAATGAAATGAATCAAAGCTCGTACATCTGAGGAACAATTGGCACTGATGCCTGGAACGGTAGCTGCCAAGAAGATGATTCTAATTAGTTGGAAGTCTCATACACCCCCCAGCCCCTTTTCGGAAATGGCTCAACGAAATGACAGTAATCATACAAATGGAGAGAATTCAGTTCTACAACACTGAAGCATCCAATCGATTTTTGAGCATATGGCATTCATATCTTAAAGATGATAATGATTAAGTATGCCTATCATTTACCTGCACTCTGAATCATACCTGACTATGGAACATCTTGAAAATGGCTCACAGATAAGTTAGACGACATTTGTCTTTTTTTTTCTTTTTGTTTTTTCTTTTTCTTTGTTATAGTTTGTTGTTTACTTGCCTAAGTTTGTTTACATGTTTCCTGCATATAAAACTAAACACCTAAAATAAAAGAAAAATTTAAAAAATAAAATAAATGAAAGCTTGTGTTAAAAAAGATTAACTTTACACTAGTGACAGTTTTACTAATAAAACTTATTGTTTTTCTGATGATTTATTTACATTATTCTTGTACAGTGCCTTACAACAGTACTCACCTGCCTTGGGGCTTCTGTTATTTTGTTGCATTCCAACCTGGAGTTTAAATTGATTTTTATTTGGGATTTATTTGGTGATTAACTGGTGAGGTGAAATACATTTTTTTTTAAAAAGAATAAAATTAATGAATAAACATAAATTATGAAAAATAAAAAGATCATGTGACACTCAGATTGCGCACATGTAGACTTGACTTAAATTGATTTTTATTTTTTTTTTAACTTTTTTTATAATGGAAAAAAAATAAAAAAATATATACAAAAATAAACGTGACTGTGACTTTAAACAGAATTGGTGGCACAAGGCCTTATTTAGGGACTTCATAGCAAATGGTATGACCATTATTTAGTCTACATATTTTTTTATAAATATTTTTTAAAACGATTTTTTCAATTTTCATTGCACTTTGTCTACTTTTTTTTTAGTTCCATTACAAAAAAAATCAAAATAAAAATCCACTTTAATTTTCAGGTTGAAAAGCAACAAAATATGAAAAAACAAAAGGTGGTAAACACTTTTACAAGACACTGCACTCCCACTTTCATCTGTTGTATTTCTCCATATGCTGTGATCCAGTGTTTCCTCAAAATGGGGAATGTATGTATCAGTCATGTATACTTGCTCAAATAATTATATCACTAAACTGTAAGTACAACTTATCAAAAAGATGCAGCTCAACGCAACTACAATGCAGTCTTAGTGTCACTGCATGATGATAAAAAAATTGCTTTGCCATGAACTTAGTGAATTCTGAACATTTGAACTTCAGCATTTAAGCATTTTTCAGTCATCAGGTTGTTGCTCAGTCAATCAGACACTGACGGAGCAGCACTGTATTTGACCTTTTTATGTAGGCTTCTCTACCAAAGCTCGTGTGCTGGTCAGGAGGTAGTTGGCTGGAAAAAAATATTTAAAAAGTTCCGAGAACCACTGCTGTAACCAAGTGCACTGTTTTAAGTGCTACATCAAGTTTAGTCAAGATTCATCTATGGTGCACAACATGCAACATGTGTTGGTCACGTAGGTTTGAAAAAATGATGAGGATATACTTACCTAGAATTCTTGATCAATAGACTGTACCAATCGCTCGATGTGTTTAAATTGCCTTACTGTTTGTTTTTATACACGTACCTTGGACTTCCCGAAAAGCAATAACGACAGTGAGTAAATTATCCTGATGAAATCCAGTAAATTGAATTGAATGGGCAGCTTTACTTGGAGAGGCACTAGTGTTTGCTTTTAAGACACTTCCTATTATTTCTCACAAAATCAGAATGGAGCTTCAGGGTTTTGCCACAAACAGTATTTATAAGTTACATTATCTACTGCTTAACAATGTAACTTTCAGCGTGATGAGAGCATGACATCAAACATGTTCTTCCAAAGACTAATAAACGCTGGCAGTTCTTTTTAAAATTGTACAACTTTATTAACGACAATCTGCATCAGCCAAACAGCAAAATTTACAGTTTTGTTTCATCAACAAACAAATTTAGAAAAGGTTAAAAAGAGAAAAACATGAGGACAAAGTCAAAGAATTTACATGATCTTCCTGTCGTAGTGTCCTCTTTATTGTCCACCTCTACTGGTCAACTGTTTCCTCTCTTCTTCTCTTTCTATCATATTATCTTCCTTTCCGTCTCTGTTTTTACTCAACAATGGCCAGGGGGGCCAATCAGCTGTTTTGTCACCCACTCCAGCATCCGCGATTCACTTCTGTGCTCTTCTGCGATTGGCCCTTGGTTACCATGGTGGTGACATTGGCTGTGGGTTCTGGAGGTAGGACATCACAACTGCTGAGATGGACAACCTGCAGACAGCATACAGAACGGGAGAAAACATCACGTAAAGCAGGGATGCTCAGCCTGGGGTCAAACATGCAAAGTGACAGGAGGCCATGGGCACGTTAATAAACAAATATTAATGACATTTATCAGATAAGATGAATGAATGAGGCAAAACCAGTCTTAGCAGCCCCACACAGATTAGGTGTTTACAGGGGCGTTTCTAGGATTTGAGGACATTTGTTGCTTCACCCACACCTCTGTCGGGGGTCTGGGGGATCCTATCCTGGCAGCTTTTTTGACAACTCTGGCACGTTATTTACATTCAAAGTACAAAAAAAATCCACTGTGACTTAATCTTTATCTAGAATTGAAAATAGTCAGCCAGCAGCCTGGCTTCACTTCAAGGTCAAAGTGAAAGAGTACTTCTTGAACAACTGGTTGCATTAAACCCCAGATGAAATGGTACCAAAAGTGTCTGCGACTGTGAGACAGTAAACTGTCAGTGGCGTGGGATGTAAACAACACTCTGTAATCTTTTAACGGAAAATGGCTCAGGTGAAGTTTTAGAGTCCTCACATCACTTGCGGAAATCCAAGGGGAGAGGAGGTAGCAACAAAACTCCACCTAATGGAGGCTTACGGCGCCCCAGATTCAAACGTCCAAAAACACATAATTGAAACCACAAAATATCTCCATACTGCTCGTCTGTAGTGATCCAAGTGTCCTGAAGCCCCGACATAAAAAGTTGTTTGGAAAAACTGCTAAAATCATGTGTTTAGTGCTGTAAGCGATCTGTGTTTGTTTGAAGCTCTGTTTTAAATCAGTGGAACAATGAAACCATTCTACTGACCTATGACAGTGTAAAGGCTACTTGTTTTTTACTTGTCCCTCCAGACTTTTGTCCATAGATTATTTCTTCAGTGATCTGATTGGTCAGAGGTCGGGTGTTAACAGGCTGTGATCCCATACTGTGACATTAACCTGCTCTGGAGCAGATTAGCTGTTCAGCACAAGTTACCACGGTGATTTATCCCAGCAAAAGGAAAACCAGCTATGAAGTATTGAAAACCCAGAGTTAACCCTGAAGTCACCTCGCTAACTCCAAATCCTGCTTCGTAGTACAAGCATCAGGATAGAAAGGCAAGATATAACGTTGTGAGGAATTGATCTGATAATTTAAACGTGGGCGTGTCATAACAGTGAGGCCCTGATGGGGTAAGGGCTCATTTATGCTCAGTGTTAAAAGATTTAGATTTTTTTTTTGCATATATTGTAAAATAAGTACACAGTGTGGTCAGGGATGTTAGATAGAAGGCATTTTCGTTTCATTTTGACCTGAATGTAATGAATTTCCTGTTCAGAATAATATTGGGATGAGCCATAAATGTTGGGGAAAGTCATTTTTTTGCCAGTAAAATATTATTTGAATGAGTAAAGAATATATAAGAATCATTCAGAAACAAAATTCCAAGGCAGTCTGAGTCTGCAGAAGTAAAAAATAGACTTTACAAAATGGGATTGACAGCCATGGACTTTGGCAAAAGCTTTTGCTACCTTTGAATTTCCTTTCTTGTTTGCATTTGTTGCGGTTCATGAGCATCTGTGCTTCTGTGACTTGTGTAAAATTACATTTTACTTATTGCCTACAAAGCAAAAACACACTCCAGTTGCCATTCAATTATTCAGTGGGATATTTTGCTGACAAAGTTTGGAGTATAATGACACAACGAGCACAGGGCTGATTAGTGCAGATGCAGGTATAAAGATTTATCCCTGAGTCATGTGAAGAAATTGTGGGGTCGATTCATCCAAACGTGTCTGTGTACGGTTCACCTGATAACCTCAATGACATACCTGCCCTCCACAGCTCGTTCATCCTGTACAGGCACTCACCTTTGTTGAATAACACGGGGATACTTACATCATATCTTGGCTCTTAACAAATGTCCTAAAACTGGCCTTGAACCAGCTTCTGTGCACACGAGCCTGGTGCATTAAGTTCATCGTCTGACATTACTTGCTGAGCCAAATATTTTGCGTTACTAAACTATGAGTGCATCAAGCTTGTCTTTAATACAACCTCATCTAGACGATGGACCAGAAGGTTTTTCCTCATTGCAAATCTGTCTTCGACGCCTGGACAAGTGCCCTACTGTAGTACTCTTTTATAAGCAAATGGAAATGTACCACCCCTGGAGGTCACACAGTTAAAAGCTTTGGGACATTAGAGTTGGCTCATCTCAAGTCTCAGTGGCAGACAGAAGCCAGTCTAACCTACAGATTCAAAGCTGAATTATTGAAGACTTTAATGTGAACACCATTTCCTCTGCAACAGAGAAGAGGGCCACATCCTTAATAACTGAGACAATAAACATTTTCACAATTTGTCTGAATTAAAAGTCTTTGAGTGAGCATACTCTGATGCCAAATACAGGGGGAGCCGTGTGCTGGACAAAATGGTTAAATGCATTATTAGCATGCTGACAAGAATATTTTTCTGATGTCAACATACAGGGGCTATGTCCAACAAAGCTATTTTTCTTTACGCCAGTGTATGTTTTTAATTCTGCGAATGGGACTGCCACATATTTACGCTACGCTAAAAACGCCAGCAGCTTGATGAGGCACTGAGTGCTTCCCATTTGACTTTTTTTTTGTGAGAGCCAAATGCTGAAAAATGTTCAGCTTTGAAAAAATGTTGCGCTCGTCACGGTCACTTTTTACCCAGCCGTTCAATCACAGTGGAGAAGGGACAAATACCATTAAGACCAACCCTCACATCTTACATTTACAGATGCTGACCAACAATAACAATTGAGGAGAAATAGGTTAATATATTATATGATAAATGTTTCTTCTCATGAACGCACACAGACCGGCAGGTAGGTCCTCTCTCCCCATGTGCATGAGTCTTCACTTCATCCAGAGCAAGTACCAGGCCCCCACGTAGTGCGCCGGACTGTCAGGCCAATTTTTGTAGTCGCTGGTACTGCATTTTCCAGGCTCTGTTACGTGATGCAATTGGGCCAAAAAGACTTTTCCCCATAGAATTATGCTGGGAAAAAAAATTTTTTTTTTTTTTTTAGCATCACAACCCCTGCAAAATTACTCATTTTGCTATCAAGATTCAATCCATTCAGGCAGATAACATTTGGAAAGTCTAAAAGAGCCGCAAGATTAAATTATTTTAACTCCATTCAAGATAGTGGAGCTCTAAACCAGAAGTTGGCCGCTCAGCTGTAAGTCTCTAGTGCGTCTGCTCTATGGGCCTAATGATGTGTAAGCAGCACCTATCATCTGGGTGACTACATACCACGGAAATAGAGTGATTTGGACTTCATGCCCCACTGAGAAACTTCTGTAGGAACGAATGGAGCCCTGCCGCCAATTCTGTATTGAGGTCTCTTAATATATCCATAGCAAGTGCTCTACCTAGAGCCAATGTTTTTACTTTAACAGATATTTCAGATCATAGCAATCTCACACAACCAAAGTGCATAACTTGCCATGATCAAGTCTTCAAGATAAGTTCCACTGAAAATCAATAAACTTCCTCTTCGTCTTTCGGCTGCTCCCTTCAGGGGTCTCCACAGCTTATCATCTGCCTCCCTCGATGGTCTTTGACCAACAGTCGTCCAATTTCCACCGGCACCCTGCTGGTCAACAGTACCAGAGGCGGCTGTTGCTAACCCAGGCCTTGACTGATTTGGTTTTATGCCGGATGCCCTTCCTGACACAACCCTCACCATTTATCCAGGCTTGGGGTCGGCATCAGGAGTACACAGAAAGTGGCCCCCCCAATGGAAAATCAATAAACTATAATGCTAAATTACGTCCAAGCTCCAGTTTAGTCAAAATAAGACAGAAATTCAAACTGTCTCCTGAACAGCAGACAGCCAGCACTTCATCCAGAACATTGGATTCACATTGGAAAATGTGTCACAACATAGCATTATAAATAAAGCACTGTGGAGCTACTGAGAGGCCACCAGCCTACAAATCATAAATTGCCATTCCCACTAAAATTGTGGGTCATATCACAATCACAATATCTATCAAAATAATTGCAATATGATCTTTTCTTTTCTTTTCTTTTCTATGATCTTCTGTGTACATTGGGCAACATTAGTAATAAAAATAATAATAAAGTTTATTTGTATAGCCCTTTAAAACAGCCCAGAGGGTGGCCAAAGTGTTTTACAATAAAATAAAACAGCAAAAGAACACCAGTAAAGGACAGCAATAAAAAACAATAACAATATCATAACAATCTTAAGTGTTAAAAGCCGTCTTAAAAAGAAAGGTTTTAAGTTTTGATTTAAAAAGACCTAGGTCAGTGATGGTGCGCATGTCGGGGGGGAGCTTGTTCCACAGTCTGGGTGTGGCCACAGAGAAAGCCCTGTCACCCCAATGTTTGTAATTGGACCTTGGGACCTCCAACAGACCCTGGTTTGACGACCTTAGGGTTCTGTTTCTGACTTGTGGTGTGAGAAGGTCGGATAAATAGGGTGGAGCAAGTCCGTTAAGAGCTTAAAAAACGAATGTTAAAATCTTAAAATCGATTCTAAAATGGACAGGAAGCCAATGAAGAGAGTAAAGGACAGGAGTGATGTGCACGCGTCTAGGAGTGTTCGTTAAAAGACGGGCTGCTGCATTTTGCACGAATTGCAAACTACTGATGGATGACTGGGAAGTTCCAACATAAAGTGCATTATAATAATCTAGCTTTGAGCTAATGAAGGCATGAATAGCTTTTTCTAGGTCAGCACGATTTAGGAATGGCTTCACCTTGGCCAGAAGGCACAATTGAAAAAAGCTTACTTTAACCACAGTGTCAATTTGTTTGTCGAACTTGAAGTTCCTGTCGAACATAACCCCGAGATTTCTGACCGTTGGACTGAGTTTCATTGCTGTGAAATTAGACATTTCTGTTTTCCCAAACACAATACACTCTGTCTTGTCTTCATTAAGATGTAGGAAGTTGGATGACAACCACTGCTTAATGTCGGCAATAGCATTAGTCAAACTCCTATGTGCCCCGCTTCCCGTTAGGCCCAACGGTAAATAAATTTGGAGGTCGTCCGCTTAGCAGTGGAACGACAGATCGTGTTTCGCTATAATTGAACCAAGCGGCAGCATGTAAAGAGAGAAAAGAGTAGGGCCGAGGATCGACCCTTGTGGTACCCCTCAGGAGAGAGAGATGCTCGAGGAGGACAGGTCACCAATCATTACTGAAAAGCTTCGATCGGTTAAGTAGGAAGTAAGCCACTTAAGTGCAGTGCCACTGATGCCAACATATTCATTAAGGCGAGATAGCAGGATCGCGTGGTCCACAGTATTGAAGGCCGCTGTGAACTATGTGTTTTGCTGTACTGTGCAGTGCGGGTACAATACAAGGTGTTTAAGTCTGTAGGTATTTAAGTTCAGCACACACTAATGTAAAAATGCACAAAGTGGACACACACATACTATATCCTGTATACAATAAAGTGCTGTATACTCACATGAAGCTGCTCATCATCTGTTTGGTGTCCTCTGAACTTCTGGAGTTTGCAAAGCTGATGAAAGAGCAGTAGACTGCGATCCAGGCACACCATTTCAGCTGAAACATACACAACACACAGGTTACAAATGTTAACTACACAATGTTGTGCAGGATTAAAAAGACCAAAATATATATCCATACATGGGACCCATTTATTTAATGATACATCAGATGTTTTGCCAGTTAACGGACGTTTAGAGACGGGCAAAGTGTATTAGCAAAGACGAACAAGGCTCAACGGTTGAAGTTTACTTTGAAGATAGATGAACAAAGCAAGCATAGTTGATAAATGGCTCTGAATCAGTGAGTACATGATGACCTTCAGTTCAAAGTGGTGTCATCTGGAAACTGCATGTACCCTGAGGTATACAAAGAGGTATGACATGGTGCATCACCCACACAATGTTTTAAACAGGACAACAGAACTCCAAAAATAAAGATTTCCTGAAGGCAAAGGGTGGCGCTGATAGTTATTTGTTTGTGGCTGATATTCACACAGTATTTTGTTGGGTTTTGCCATTATTTTGGACACCTCCACTACCCCCATCATCCAGTTCTTGGAGAGTGCTTTGTGTTTCCTGCACTGACATAAAACCTCCAAATCTGCCCATCTTTGTCTAAGAAAGGTATTTTTAGGAAATAATTTATGCTATTTGTTTGGGGAAAAAAAGGTTTTACACCAACAAGTCAAGGTATTACTTTGTTGATAGAAAGACAATCAATTAATCAAGTGATGCACAATTGGACTGGGAGGCCACATGAGCCTGCTGCTGTCCCCTCTGTGTTTTGTTTATTGTGTCCTTCGTGCTCAAAGTGAAAAGCTGCCCTTCATCCTTTCATCTAAAAAGGTGAGTTTACCTTTAATCTTCTAAATGGAACCATTGAGCTGAACCAAGGTCTACCATTCAGGGGCAACACCCCTTTAGTACAGACACACAAACACAAACACACACACACACAGGCAGAGGACAAGGGGGAGATGAGATGTTTAGTGTGAGGGTGTGTGTGTGTGTGTGTGTGTGTGTAGGTCACCTTGAGCATCAGTCCACACATGCTGAAGATCATGCCGAGCAGGTTCATGTAGTCTGGCGTGGGGTCCTCCAGTGTGGGATTGGTCTCTGTGCTGGGGGGCTTGTACCTGCAACACCACAGACACATATTAACAAAAAACACACTGTAACAACAACTTAATTCTTAACGCCAGATCCACTTATACACAATTTGTCTTGTGTTGTGCTACAAAATCATTCCAAAATGACATTGGATGGACATTTCTCTCCTGCTATAACAGACCATTTTTTCTAGGAAGGCCATAAGAGTTCAGAAAACTGGCTGCAGAGGTTTACAGCCATTCAGCCGAAGAGTTGTAAGGACGTAAGGCCTGCCTCACAGCCGGCATTTCCATTCTCCCCAGATGAGTTGGATGGGGCTGATGTCAGGGGTTTTGCAGGCCAATTTAGTTCCTCCACATCAAACTGGGAAAACCATTTCATCGTGGAAAGTAGCGTCAAAGATATTGATTTATTAATACATACTGATTCTGAGTATTAATTTCCATTGTATAGATACACTGACACCAGCTGCGTGTTATGTACTCTGTCTTATTGTTAATGTTTGCCATAGTCTTTCAGCTGTTTTCTGCTACTAACCATGACAAGAAAAGTTGTTGCCATCATAATATCAAATTGTTATCTTTATCTTTCGATAAAAGTAATTCAATTGTATGTCTCTAATGCAGTACTGAAAGTGGTATCGAATATCTATATTTTTCAAGCTGCTGTAAGTTATTGAAGTTAGAAATTACAGTATCGTGATAACACTAGTTAGAAGTACACTACTCTAAGATCTCACTTCACTGGAACCAAAGGGACTAGCCCAAACTATGACACCCAGATCAGATTTGTGGTAAAGTTTGTGGACATAGGTACCAACCACATAGTATTAAGTCGACTTAGTAGCACCTGAAGGATTACAATTATCTTTGAGTCTGTGAAGGTGTCAGAAAGACTGTCAAGGGTTAACTGTCATGCCCGTGGAGCTAAGTGTTCTGTAGTCTCACACAAAAATTAAAGAAGCCCATGAAAATATATGTTCACTGACCGTCATGGGCAAAAGGCAAGGGCAAATAGCACAGACACGCTGTGTAACAAAACCCTTGTGTTAAAATATGAACTATTTAGTGACAGATTATTGTCGACTAAATATGAGGAAATCATAATTATTTGTTAGGTGTTTGGTGGTGTTGAAACCCCACAGTTAAATCAACTAATCGCTAATCCTCTTAAACTAGTTATGCTCATGAACTGTCTTAAAGGTTCGCCAGTTAGCTGTTAGCTAACGTCAAGCAAGCTAATGTGGTTAGCTAATTCCATCACAAAAAGTTCTAATTTGACATATAAAATACTCACCTTAAAATCTTATTTTGTCTCCTCGGGTCTGACATGTTGTTGGACGCCATGGTGTGTTAAAACGACCTCCTTTTGGTGGTTTATTATTGAGAAATTTAAACCCCGGTTAGCGAGAGACAGCTGAGCTGGAGTCTTCATGAATTGAGTAGTAAGGAGTAGTCATATCCGGTGAGTTTCAAAATAAGAGCGTAAAGTAATCTGTAAGCTAAAGGTCACACGGGAGGAAGGTTTTTGAACTTTTATTTTGACAGGTGTATTTTATCCCAGTGTGCATTGCGCGTACTAGCAAACTTAATGGGTGAAATGAATGGAAGATGCTGATGGTTACAAACTGAAGATAAACTTATTATTATTATAATATTAGCCGCGACAGGAATATCAACATGGCGCTTCCCTAAAATTAAACTCGGGATAAAACATTTCAAGTAGGTATAGTAATTAAGTAGCACTGGAAAACTCCTGTGAGAAGGAAATGAATAACGTTAGCTAGCATAGTGTATAAAGCTGTCCTCTGTTCAGTAAAACTAACAAGCTAGTTCTTTCTAAATAAATCACCGTTTAAAGTATTAGCTAGACCAACATGTATTAGGCTAGTTAAACTTCCGTAACTCCAGTAGTTTCTTTGGCAGCTTCAACTAGTTTCCTTTGAGAAAGCTAATGAAGTACTAACTTAGCTTGTTAACAGCTTGTGCAACAGTGTTTACAGAGTATCAGGCTGCACCACAATAGCCTAGTTGTAATGTAGATTAAGTTGTCAGCAGTGTTGGAAGAAGGACTTAGAAGTAGAATTACTGACTTTGATTAAAAATGTACGTTACATTTTGCAATAATAAACCTTAAACGTTGGTACATTTGTTATTTACTTGTACACAGTCTGTTCAACGTTGGACAAACTTGGCAATATATTTTTAAGGAATACTGGTCACTCTGACAATCAGTCTCAAAGATGCTATTGTTTATTTTGAAAGCAATTTTAATTCATTGAATTTTATGATAAAGCTCACAATCCTGCATGGTAAATTAATTTCATATACACATATCCAAAGTGTATCCTCCATACATCATCATAACCAGCTATTTGGTGATTTGTAAAATGAATGATTTCAAATGCTGTCTCTGTTTTTGTGTGTTTGTTTTTATTGTTTAGTGTCAGTCTGTCTTTTTTCTTTTTGACAATATGCTGTTTCTACGATGTCTGACTCTGTAATATTTACCTTTGTTCAGTAAAGTTAGGGGAAAAAACAATACCATGCTTATGTAATGTTCGTATTACCACAGAGTCGAAATAATCTGTTATAAGCAAAAGACCTGCATTTAAAATTTTACTTAAAAGTACAAAAGTATTATAAAAAATTACTTTGGGTACCAAAAGTTAAAGTACTTATTATGCAAAACAACCCATAACAGAATAAAATATGTTTTATTATTATTATTTATGTTTTATTATCAATGTATAATTATTGATGCATTAATGCGTACATTACGTCAGTGTTGCAGCACATAAACATGAGATTACCTTTAATTATTTTATATACAGCTGGGTAGCTCGTTAATTTCCCCTAAGGTCCAGTAAAGCCTTAATCTATAATAATACCTCATCATCATCATCATCATCATCATCAATATTGGGATATGACACTAGATATCATCATAGATTTTGGATATTGTAATAGTGTTGTCTTTTCCTGGTTTGAAACATTGCATTACAGTAAAGTGTTGTAATTTTCTTAACTTACCTGAACTATTCTAGATGTTTTATTTGCCTTTAACCACTTATACATTATATCCACATTACTGATGATAATTTATCAAAAATCTCATTGTGTAAATATCTTTGTGAAAGCACCAGTATATAACCCATATCACAATATTCATGTCAATGTATTTGGTCAGAAATATTGTAAGACTTGATTTTCTCCATATCGACTAGCCTCATATACTATCACAGATCTTATTCTGCAAAGTAACAAGTAACTAAAAATAATTAAATGAATGTAGTGGAGTAAAAAGTACAATATTTGCCTCTGAGATGTAGTAAAATACAAGTAGAAAGTAGCAGAAATCGGAAAATAATTAGAATAAAAGTGAAGTACAAGTAACCCAGACAGTACTTGACTAAATGTAGCTAGTTGCCCCCCTCGGTTGTCAGTGTGGCTCATATGTTTGTGTTGTGTTTTTTCCAGACAGGTGATGTCATGGCGTTCCCTCAGCCCAGACCTCAGGCTCCTCAGCTTCCCCAACATCTGCTCAGGACCATAGACTGTCAGCAAGGAGCTGTCAGGGCTGTTCGCTTCAACGGTGAGAGTCAAGTGCCAAAATATTTATCAACCTAATATTGAGACTTTTCAGGTATCAACATAAGTCCATGAAATGTCACTGGCTTATACCTGCTTTTGTCTCCCTGCCTGTCTGGTCAGCTGATGGGAACTACCTGCTGTCTTGTGGCAGTGACAAATCTCTAAAGCTGTGGAGTGTGAGCAGAGGGACGCTGCTGAAGACCTACAGCGGACATGGATACGAGGTTCTGGATGCCGATGGGTGAGAGGATTATCACAGCCTCCTTCACAATGTGTCAGGAAGGGTCATTAGTATGTTAGCATCGACATGCATGATAAAGAAGTATAAGTTGTAAACATATGAAGAAAGAAAAAATGCTGTAAAGGTGTGCTACAGAGATCTTCTCCCCCTGCAAACAGTAACCATGCTTGTCTCTCATTGGCTGTTTCAACAGTTCCTATGACAACAGCAATCTTTGCTCCTGCAGCTCTGATAAGACAGTGATCCTGTGGGACGTCGCCACAGGCCAGGTCACACGCAAACTCAGAGGTCACGCAGGGGTCAGTTGAACTTTAATTTATTATCATTATTATTATTTTGTCATGTTCATCTAAGAAGCTTTTACACCTGCATCGCTTCCCTCTTCTTGTTCTCTTGTGTCTCCACACTTTTGTTCCGTCTTTAGTTTTTTATATCTTACTCAAATTTTCTGCTGACAGAAAGTCAACTGCGTCCAGTTCAATGAGGAGGCAACTGTCATCTTGTCTGGTGAGTGCCTACAGTGCGCAATGCATTACTCAGTATATACATCGTGTATTTTCTGGGATAGTGCAGTGTGTATTATGTGAAATATCTTTCCACACGAACACTGAGTTGTCTTAATAAGTTTCTTTGTCTGTATCTATTTTAAATTGTACCTAACAAATGGCCACTGATACTGACTACTAACTCAGTACATGTGTTTATTTGTTGTCCGGATGTGTGTATGTGTGTATTTTCTCCTCATCCAGGGTCTCTGGATGGGACAGTTCGGTGCTGGGACACCAGGTCCAGGAGATTTGAGCCCATCCAGGTTCTAGACGAGGCTCGGGACAGCGTCAGCAGCCTGAAGGTGGCACAACATGAGCTGCTTACAGGGTCAGCACAGCAGATGTACTTTTTGCCACTGAAGCCAGTAGAAGTGTAGATCAGTAGTGTCAACAAGATATGATATTATATCCAATGATAAGACAATGTATCACCAGTTTTATCATTCCTTTACTTACATCTCTTCCTGTTTGATTAGATTTTTAGATTTCACTGTGGAACTGTTTGAGAACAACTGTCTTGTGTTTAGGTCGGTGGATGGCAGAGTGAGACGCTACGACCTGAGAATGGGACAGCTGCACGTCGACTTCATCAGCAGTGAGTAATCTTTTCAGCATTCATTAGGATTATTGAGATTTACTATCACTGTTATTAGTGGTGGTAGTAGTAGAAAAAGCAGAAGCCTGTAATGTGTGTATGTTTATGTGTTCCAGGTCCCATCACATGTGTGTGTTTCAGTCAGGACGGTCAGTGCACTCTGAGCTCCAGTCTGGATTCAACAGTCAGACTGCTGGACAAGAGCACCGGGGAAATGCTGGGAGAGTGAGTGCTGCTCAGTCTCGTTACAGTGTGGTTTGCTTCCATCATGGTTTCACTCACTAGTCAACTGATCCAACACACACTTGGCACATGATAATCCTACAACGCACTGATGAGGTTTTATGCAGGAATGTTTGGGAAGTTATCTTTTTTTTGATCATTAAATCAGGTAATGCATGACCCCAAGTGAAAATTAGATTAAAGTAAAACACGTCTTGCTGTGCGAAAAAGTTTCCTGTTTTTAATTCCTTTTAGGGACAAAGCAGCTCACTTGTGATTTCTCTTTATATCTCACCTAACTTAAAATCTGTGAAAACAGGACATGACTCAGTGTACACTGTGGTGAACAGTGTCTTCTCACAGCAGGAAACACATTTTGGAAGCACAAAGACAACAATGGGCTTCTGAAACCAGGATATGGTGTTTACAGGTGCAAAACATAACCTGGTCACTTCAAAAATCAGATCATAACCAGAATACCCCTGCACATGTGAAGACACTCGGTGTTCATTGCCATTCAAATGGCAGTTTATGCTATATTTAACTCTCTAAATCAGCTTAGCCCACCATTTAACAAAACCTCAGGACACACGGCGTCTGCTGGTCCTTATATCAGTCTTAAACGAGCAGTGTGTAAGATTTAGGGGGATTTTGTGGCATCTAGCTGTGAGGATTACAGACTGCAACCAGCTGAAACTTCTCCTGGTCAGAATTCCTCCAGTGTTCATTGTTCAGGCAGTTTTTATCAGGAGTTGAATTATCCTCAGAGGTCTCTTCCTCCCCCGGAGCAGGTGATTTTAACCAGTAAAAACACTAAAAGCAGTTTCATGCTACATATCAGTGTTTCTCCAGCGCTGCTTGGCACATCGGAGTCGGAAACACAATGATTTTTATTTTCATGTGATGCTACACTAAAGAAAAACATACTATATTTTTCTTCTGCTAATATACCCTCCTTAGTCTTACACAGTGAACCTTTAAAATGCCTTACATTCTATTTTAGGTCTCAGGCCTTAGTTGCCACAAACATTTTATCTCATTTAATTGATCCTTTTTATTTCTTTTTGTCAAGTTCTTCTTCGTGAAAGTCCACATTTCTGACGTTACAAGTCTTTTAACCCACCACTGAACCTTATACTGTCTTTTTACTTTACACATGCCCTTACCTCACTCTAATAATTATATTCCTGCATAAGACGGACCTCTGCACAGGACTACATATGTACTACTTATACTTACCTGCAGTGCTCGAC